TTAATACATAATTTACATAGTACAATGTTTGGGTCACGTAATAGTAAAATTGAAATGTGACTTTAAAAATATCTCAGGTCTGGTCGTTGATTTGGAGCCGTTTTTTGAGAAAAAATTGTTAGGGCGTTTCTGAAAATGCTCAATTTTGAGCTCATTTTCACGAAACGTGTTTGAGTTTTCAAGAAATCAGAAATAGATTGAAACACTTGTATTCACAAATAAAATCTGTGCTAAGATGGAAAATTGTTGGAAGTCACTTTAAAAATGTTCAATGTCAGCGATTTCAGGCAAAATGTCACGAAAAATTAATCTGTGGCTTTTGTCTTATTGCAATTTTGTAGAGAACAATTCACGTTTGAAGAAAAACAATCTATCTTCAATAATGTAGTTGCCGGTCAAGATGTCCAACATCGTTAGGACAGAAGTGTCTTAGCGGTCTCGGACCAGAAGATCGCGGGTTCGAGTCCTGCCTCGGGCATGGGGATATTTGTGTATTTCTATATGTGTGTGGTGTGTGCCAGCCTTTCATCCTTCACCACCATCATCCATACCCTCAGAGTTGGGGGGATAAAAATCGGAATTCAGCAAAAATGCTGCCCCCCCCCCCACGATAAAGGTACGTGCACTTGCGAAACAGGATGCAGGCGTGGTCCGAGTTGGCCTGTACGCGAAAAAAAAATGTAGTAGTACGAGGGGGTCCAAACAGTTTTACAATTTTCGGAAATTCAGAGTTAACAGTGAAAATCCTATCTTTGTCATCTTTCTAAGTGTACTTTTCTGTATTCTTACAAAACCGTTAAAAAAATTGGAGCCATTTTTGAGAAAATTTTGCAAATGTCCCAGGAGTTTCATATAAAGTACCCCAAAAATTTAAAGAATTCTTTCCAAAATCGTGGGGTTTCGAGTCGGGCCAGGTCAACACAAGAATATTCATTTGAAGAAAATTCTAGGAATAGTTAGGGCGCTAGTGTTTTTCACGTCTAGACAGTCTGCCTGATGGACGGGCGTTTTGAAAGAATTAACACTTTTTCCGCATCAGGTGATCCAGAAAACGTGTAGTTCCATTGAACTATCGAAATAGATTTTCCGCGGCATTATATAACTTTCTCTGTACGTCAAATATTATCGTGTATTTCAGAAACTTACTTGAAAGAATTTTACAATACCTCCTTATCTCAGTTACCACACGAATAGCACCGATTGTAAGTTTGTATACCATAGGCATAAGCTTAAGGTGCAGAAGCCTGGAGATATGACTCTAGCTTTTCATAAGTCAATAAAATATCAAAATCTTGGAGGTCAGAAGAATTTCAGTGATGGTTAGTGAGATCGTTAACCTGTAAACTTACCTTCCGAATATTATAGATACTTGCGCAGTGCAAGAAAAGGCATTCGTAAAATGTGCTGTATTTTCAAAGTTTCAAACATTGTATCACTCAATGAGCATTTGGGGTAAAGTATTTTTCTATGTTTTAATATTTTATATCTGCTTTGAACGAAAATGCTCCTTATTATCCCCGAAATATGAGCATTTTTGACTCATTAAAAAAAATCACGCATTCAAAAGATAATCGTTAATGTACTTGCCAGAAGAATAGACATGAATGAATGTCGGCGTTTTTAAGAATTAAAAAATAATTTTGACTCATAATTGTAGAAACGAAGATTGAATTTTTCAGGTCCGATTAACTGCACAATACTGACACAAATAATAAAAATTGAAAGGGGTAAAAATAGAAAATAATTGTTATTACTGCAATATTTAAAACACAAGTGTCTGATAATCTTTAAATAAATTTCTACCTTACGAAAACAAAAATCAACATTCAATTTATGTATTCTTATTCAGAGATAAATTGGGGGTCTGAAAATCAAATAACCTGAACTTTGAGCAGGGAAATTCCATTCAAATTCAACTGTTTATTTCAGCGTTCACGCCTAAATTGCTTCCGAAAATGAAGAAAGACTTTTTGACAGTTCATCAGCTAAAGAATCACTGTTGTTGGAAAGGGGTTCATTAATCATATTAGTAGCCAAGAGTTGCTCAGGTAACGGATTGTTTGCTCCGTGCGCTATGATATTGCGGTGGCGGTGGCTGTCGCCTGAAAAGTCGACTCGTGTCGCGCTCTCTTGGGAGGTCCATCAGTCATCGGCGCAGACACCGATCGGCGAGTTGCTTTGACGTTGTGTCGGCCAGTGGAAGAGAAGTGCATTACGACTTCTGAAGCAGCCGGCCCGCTTGTATCCGGCGAATGAAATATATCACTTGGTGGGTGGAGGGAAGTGTCGGCTATTAGGCTGTCATGGGACGTCAGCCCCAATCCCCCATCTCGCCACCTTCCTACTCCAATTGAGCCCCAAAGCGCGGCACGGCACGGCGTGGCGTGGCACAGCACAGTTCGAAAGGGGCCTGACTCCCCGCCTCCCCCGTCGCTCCCCG